AGACAAAAGTTTACGCTTGTTAGCCTTCTTACAAAACACTCTGAGGTCAGCGGCGGATCGAATTAACAAGTCTAATTTTCGTGGCAGGTGTGGGACGGTCAATTATCACACTCTTTTAAATTTATAATAATAAAAAGCTTTCCGGGTTGACAAATGACCGCCCACACCTTCCCTTGTGTCATGGTGTAGGATTCTAGGGGGATAGGGTTGTCATGAGTTTCAACATCAAGAAGCGCAACTTTCTTCTGGCCAGTGTAATATATCAATGCACATGTGTCAATCGAAACGCTGCACCTCACTCGCTCGAGTACAAGAATTGAGAAGTGTTCACACCACGCAACAATCGGCTTGACCATGTTTGACCCCTGCATCCCAAAGTGGGCATGCTTCAGAAATTGGCAACTAGCTAAAACACCGGTGACCGCCAATGGTTAGTCTGAAAGTCGTAGCCGCCGTCGCAAGCCTGCCACTCTTGCGCCTCCATGACATCCTCACAGGGTAGTGGAAATTTCACCCGCACTATGATGTGTGCGTCCAGTTGATGGCATACTGAAGCCTCTGAGATAAAAGGCGCATCCCAGTAGAGCATACAAACAAATACAAACAACTTGTATAAGTGTCTCACATTTAAGACAAACTGAATCAAATTGATAGCTAGACTTGCAAGAAGCAAAATCCACCAGAGGTGCCCACCAGAGTACACCTGACAGGTCCTTACATTCACCACCTTCCTTTCACAGGATGAGGAGTGCTGTTTCAAGGCGACACGATGCCAGTCTGGTTGGAACGCTAACTGCCAGTCGTACGACTGAGACGTAGGTACGGTCCGCATGTCATTCGGTCCACAAGAGTCCGTTTTTTGATGGTCGGCACGGTCCCAAGATGTCATTCTGAAAGAAAAACACACGTCCTCGAGTTTGCCCCCGATCACTTTTTCATCCTCCTCATTTACAATCAAAAGGATTCGACCTCAAAGCTGCAAAGCATGTGTGGTCAAAGGGAATGAATCACTCCTTGTGTCGGGTTGGCTGGCTGGCCGATCGGTTGGTTGGCTGTCGGTTGGTTGTTGTCAAGTTCTGACCAACTCCAGATCCAAGCACCAGTGGCCTGTAGAAGTAATTGTCCTGTCTCCAAGTGCTAGAAAATAAGAAACTGGAGCAGAATTCGTGTATTAGGCTGGGTCAGGCTTCGACTTGTACGTACCTCAATGTTTGTCAGTTCCTCAAGTTCAGACAAGCACAGCCACTGCGCTGCATGAAATCCGCAAAGTGAAACTTCAAACACACGAAGCCATTGGAGGTATTAGAGGAGTTGGATGCAAACATATTTATAGATAGATCACTTTGCATGTGTCGAAATCGCCTTACACCCTGCTGGTGTCGGCACCGTTTCGGGAAGCTCGTGAGGGTCTCTGTCTACCAAGCTTCTGGTAAGTGCCTTGCAAATGATCTGTCTTTGAGGGTTCTTGCAAGAAGGCTTCACACACACACACACACACCCAGCAACTCCCTAAAAGCGAGGCCCCGGCCATCTCGTGTCAGAGCCTGAAAAATGGTTGTGACTTGCAGTTTTTCCCTGCCACCTGATAGACAAAGTTATTATGCTATGCTTCTGTCTAAAGATACTAAAGTATTACAACACAACACAGACTCAACTAACGATCAAAGACTGGCCAGATTTGCCAGTGCACTGCTCTACGACAATTCCACATTAGTCAGACCTCTACAAGTTGCAAACCGATTCTTCCCAGCTCCATGCATCACCCGTGAATCGAGTTAAAGTACCAAAGCAAGTCTCTTCCCCACCCTCGAGGCTCCGGACGGCCGCCAGCTGCAGCAGGCCCTCCCTCAAGATGCGCCCACCCAGTCGAGCCTTAGAATGGGACGTGCTTTCCCCTGCAAATGATCCAATGCTGCGTACTGTGGAACAATGAAAAATGGTCCCTGTAGCAACTAGTATATAGTAGGATTAGTAGGGAATAGAACCTGGAAGGGCAACTTGAGCCTTTTTGTCAGCTTGTCCCTAGACAATCTTCTTTGAAAGGTGCTAGTCGTCATAGCCATACATCATACACGAAGAAAAAATACAACCAAGCTGATCTGATATTGCCATACTTCATTGCTGACGTGCCTCAAATGGTTACCTATCTTTGGACTGTTTTGGATGAACTCCCGCTCACCAACCGTGGAATCCACCTTGGTGGCCACACAGCGGTGCCAGCAGCGACCACACCCACATGGACTTCCTGGGCCGCAGCTATCGAAGAGGAAAATCCCTTCAGACCGACCACCCTGGGCTGCTGACCGGCTTTGGCACCAGATTGAGGATATTCTTCTCCCAATCCCTGGCCACAACGGCCACACAATGGCCAAACAGCCAAGGCTCACCCACTCATCCTCGGACCTAGCCTGCTGAGAACAGTCTACATGGGATACGGAGAGATAGGGAAGGATTTCAGGGGATGGGATGGGCTCTTCAATTTGAAAAGCTATGTGTCCTTCCCGTCCAAGGTAAGGTTGGCAGCGATCGGCCTGAAGCCCGCAGCTACGCTGTAGACCTGCAGGCCCGTGGGCTTCAGGAGGGGACTCACACAATATGAACTGAAAGGACCACTGCTTCAGGCCCGTTCTCCTGTGTAAACCTGGTTGTTCTTGGTTCCCGGCTCTCTGGGGGGAGGTGTGGGGTAGAGTGGAGTCAAAAACTTCCTGGTTAGTTGCTCAGTATACTGGAAGCAGTCCGCTCTGCTTCAGCTGCCACCAAGTGGATGATGCTTCCAGCTAGATCTATAGATCTGCAGAGCCTTGGGGATCCATGTTGAAGAGGTGTTGGATGTCAGTGTAATTTGTGTTTTTGCGATCGTTCGGTTTAGTGCAGTGCCTTCATCAGAGTCCGCCGCTTGAGTGATTGAGCTTGACCCCTCTATGTTGTTTCGCTGGTACAAATAAACAAATATAAAACTGTATTCCTCAGGACAAGCTTATAGAGTTTGCTCTTGGTGTGGTGACGGATCTGGAGAGGTGGTCGATGGCTTTCTCGCTTTTGTCTCATGGTGTGAAGCCTTGTGTTCAACTGCATTCGCGTGTCTTTTTGTCGCCTCAAATCACTTCTGCACTGTTCGTGCTCAGCCGTCTGCAAACTGTCTATCCAATGCTGTGGAAAGCCGCTTGAGCGTTCCAGCGTAGAAGGAGCTCGCCTGGGTCTTGTGGTCTTACAACAAAGGCGTGTTGTTCTCTCTACTTGCATGGCCAACAACCTGCGGTGAAAACACTTCTCAAGAACGAGCGGTTCACTGTGTCAAGGGCCATCTTCATGCCTGAAACAACTAAAATGCAGCAAAAACAAATACTATGACCCCTAAGGTCAGGTGCAAGAATAAAGAAATGTTCGAAGGGTGTCCAAATCCAAACAACTGCCTTTTTCACATGTAAGCATCTGGCACCAGCGACGACAGAACCATGTACCGTACATGTACCTTTTTCTATAGCCACAACCAGGGACCCTGTTTTTCACTTTTGTCCATGCTGCAGGACAGTGTGCTCCCAAAATGAAGCCGCTGGTTCAGTCAAGGGAATCACTTTTCCAAAGCAGGATGCAGCAATATGAGTGGTCAAAGCCTGGCCAAAGGCCTCAAGCTGGCTGTGATTTCTGGCTGCCCCAGAACAACTTGTGGCATGGGATGGGCTTCCAAGTGGATACCCTGGATACCTCATCAATGTTCATTGTCCGGCCTTGCACTGCTTCTCGAACTCATACTTCTGAATTCCGCTCACCTGAAATACGGTCCGATTGCTTTGTACCCTTGGGTTCTTCTAAATGCGTGTTACTTCATCTTAATCTCAATTCTAGAATGCCACAGGTTTGGAGTAGGCAATTTGGCACCCGCAAATGCCAAGGTACAGGGCCCAGCACCAGGTACTGCAAAAGCTTCTTTTCACCAGCATCCTGGAGGGCTCGGGGCGAGCATCGCTGGTTGAGGAACCTAAGTTGATTGATTTAGCCACGGTGTCATCAGCCACCCGTTTGACACAGTTTCTGGCATGGCCCCATGGCGCAAGTTGAGAACAGCTCAGAGCCCGTCTCCACCTTGCCAGGCATCTGCTGCGGCGCTAGGTAGCCCAAGTATTTGCAATCATTCGGCGCCTTAGACGGTCGGCCAAGCTGGATGTGGAATCCACTTCGATCTCGGTGAGATAGCAAATCCCATTGCTGAAAAAACATGTTGGTAAGTCAGTATATGTTTAAACGATGTCTGATCTCTAGTCTCTACGTGTTCAGGGGGGCCCTTGAACGAAAGAGATAGGTGGGTGGCCTGCACCATTTGGAGGACCCACATGTCTATTCACCTGTTCTGAGGTATCTACCAGCTGCATTGCGATGAACTCATCCCGGGACGGAGGCAAAAGCTGCCGCACGGTCAGATGGCAAGAAGAGGTCGGGCTGAAACACTATGAAGGCCTGCTGTATTCACAAACCACGTGGGTAATTGAATTCCAACAGTTGGAAGACAGATCGAGGTAGAATAAGAGCCAGCCCAAAGTGAAGTCCTGGTTTCCTTGACCACTTAGTGTTGAAGCCTGGGTAAGTTCCAGCAACTTACCCCCTCGCCTTTCAATCATTGAACCAAAGAGCAAAGCAATGTTGTAAAAAGAGTAAACTGTAATCAGTGTTGTTGCTGGTACAAGTACTGCTGTTGACGAAAGAAATCGAGAAACAGAAAGACAGTCGCCTTCGGGAACCACCCTGCAACCACCACAACACCATCAGTGCTGTGGTCTTCCTCATTCGAGGTGGTGCATGCTTTCTTCGTATGCCCCCAAATGGCCACGTCCACCGTCCGCGTGCTCGACGTGTCCAACAGCACCTGCTTCAGGTTTCCGGCTAAGAAATGCTGCCTGGCCAAAGCACATTCGCCCAGAACTCAGCTTGCTGTCTTCAAGCCAGCCAAAAGACAGGTCCGAGTAGGGCCCTAGACGATGAATAGAGCTCCGCAGACAGGAGATGTAAAACCATTCTGGATGCACAGGCTTTCATCATCAACAGTCTACATTGGGGGGGTCGCCTATACATATTGCTGTTAGCCTTCTCCACGGATCAGCTCAGCAGTCAGCTGCGAATCCGGCCGTCTCCGGATCCGTTCGGATCCCTTTTCCCCTCATTCCCGAGACACGAGCGGCTCCCTCAGGTGACCGCTGCGCGGTCGCGCCCGCGCCATCGCAGCCGCCAGTGCGGCTGCTAAGGCAGCGGGGGTGGCCACAGCCATAAGGCCGAGAGCCTGAGCACCAACCTGAGAAAACATTCAAAACAGCTTGTTATGATTTCTCATGAAGAAACACGTGTTGATAATGGTCAGGTCTTCTGAATTGAATTCGGCTCACTTACACTTCTCAAATCCATCAAGCTTTGCTTCAGCCGTTTGCTTCATTTGGTAGTGAGACAATCAATCCAAGCTTGGGTCCAACTTGGGTCCCACAAGTTTCATGACTTATCATGGTCCAAATAGAATCGATCTTCATGGCAAACCAGAATACTGTTCCATGGAGCCAATGATATCAATGATGTTTCATGATGTTTGATGTGACATGTTGTTATGTTGTCATGTTGATGATTTATAGCAGCCCTGCAACGAATGCCTACTAGCCTCGTAGAAATGCCCTACCAGTACCCTGGCTCTCGACGTCTCCCCTTCGCCTGCGGGGAGGCGAGTTCCAGCTGGCTGGGAGGCGAAGCTTTGAAGCGACCTTCCACAAAGCCAATGATCCTCGCAGGGACCCCAGTGACATTCTCGAGGCAAGAGGAGCAAAGTAGACACACCCTGCTTCACGACAAAGAGCTTCGAGACGTGTCGCTTCTTCGCCTATAGAAGCAGACTTCTGAAGTCTATACAGGTTGGCATGAGCAAAACAAGGAGAAAGAAGGAGAGGACCCATAGACTAGCTACAAGGCTACAAGTAGGTGGCGGTCACTATGTTCACTTCTTCAATTTGGACCTCAGTGCTCAGTGCTCCTCTTGATCTTTGGAGCTAATGGCCCAGTGTGGAGGCTTTCCAACCTGAGAACAGAGCACAGGAGGGGCCATCACTGGCCGTTTGGATCTTCAATCTAAACAGCAAAAGTGAACACACCATCAGCTTGGGAGACAAAATGAGGAGCCATCCCATTTTGGGATGAACTCGAGCTAGGGTCCTGGCCACAGAACCGCATCTGTTGGGTACGCCTTCGCGTAGACCTCTCAGGAGGGTCCAAGGAAATAGAATCACTTGGGCTTCTCGGAAGAACATGTGACCTAGCCTTGATCCTGATCAGCGAAACCTATCTATCCAATCGTTGAGAACCAGAGACATTGGGTACAATGTCTGATACTGTCTGCACGTAAGTTGAAAAACCAATGGGTAAGAAGTTCGCATGCATAAACCTTAACCTAAAATGAAGGCCCCTCAATCTTCGAATCACGGATGACTAGGTTGACCGTCTCCGGGTCCTCTGTTAAAAAAGTGCAAAACTCAAGCTTCATCGTTTGGGATCGAGCGCTGTCGTACAAACCACGATGCATTGGAGCGTTTCTTTCTGTCTTGACTCATGGACCCATGGGTTGCTGCCCTGGCACCACACGCCTTTGCAGCGACGACATCATTATCATAGGCATCTTGGGCCGTCTCATGGCGTGTCGGCTTGTAGCAGAAGCCTAGGACAAACATGGACAAACAGAGTTTGTGGTCACCGAACACCCTATCCAACGAACATCTTCGAAGTTGGAAGGTGAGTGTTCCTCTCTTCCAAATTCAAGGTAATCAAAAAAGAGGACTCCTCGAACAGATCTGACTGGACTCTCCTGAGCGCAAAATGATCCAGAAGCTCTACACACCTCGTGTACAGCACAAGTGCGGGAAGAGCATCGTCGACCCAAAGCCAGCTCACAGGCTCGCCACAGGGCAAACATCTATAACAGTTTGTTTTGACTTCCCTGTGTCTCCAAACACAAAAAATAGTTGAAGGTTTCCATATCCTGGCTCTTCCCCATCCATCTGCTCGTCTGCATCCCGAGGCACGGCGATAGGCCGCGGCGGCCAACGTGCCGTTGGCATTCGCCGTCGAGTGCCAAAAGACGGCACCCAGATAACGCTTCACGAGGTCATCATCCGAAAGTCCTGGCAGCTTTTGTCATCTTCAAGTGACCGGGTAGAAAAGGACACTGAAGGATCCCATTGACATTGGCGACTGAATCCAGGGAATGTAATTAAGTTGGTCAACTGATTCATCTCAAGCCCTATGAAATATATATATATATACAGTATATATACTTATTTGTTTACTTATGTAATCTTCTGTATATATACTATAGCAGCCACACGGTGGCAAGGGCCGTCGCCTGGGATCTTCATCAGCTTTCCAGAGCTCAGGAGGATCCTGCCGACCCGTTGGAAGGGGTTTCCCAGTGCTGGCATGTCTCTCCTAAGAGGTTTGGTACCGCTCGGCGGGACGAGTCAAACTTGAGTTTGCTGCTGAAAGAATCCGGGAACCTGAAATCGACGGTCAAAACGGACGGTCAAGTCGCAATGGGTGACTGCAAGTGACGTCATTGCGCCTGAGCCTGTCACCTGTATTCCTAGCCTCCGAACAGGTTGAGTGCTTCGAACACTTTCCACATGTCAACCAGGTCGACCTCGGAGCACCTGGTCATGGATCCCCAAAGATTCGATCCAGATCGGTCGACCCATTTCTCCTGGACCACGAGATCGGCTTACTGGGCACCATGGGCCTGAACTCGGAAATGCGTTGGATCTGCGACAGATGAGAATCGGATAGATTTGGTGAATGACCAGATTACAGGCGACAGTCATCTGCGGAGTCTCAAGCTGGGCTTGGTCCTTTTCACAATCCACGTCCGTCATAAAGCTGGGCTTTCCGACTTTCTGATTATGTTCACCTCTTGGATTTGTTATTATCTGCATCCTAACTCTCCAAGATGGTATTTGCCTCATACAAGCCTCAAGTTGGGAAAAACATGCCTGAGCTGCACTACCCTCACATACCCTCACCATCCTTCAAAAAGTCTTGAGCTACTGCCAAATTGGCGGGAAAAGAACCAACTGCGCCTGGAGTAAGACTTCCCATCCACAGCATCACGGTCCGTGAGGAGGATGGCGGCCTGGCCTTTGGCCGATAAGGCCGCACCTTGGGACCAAATGCCTGGCCATCCGAGTCCAGGCTGCGGGGATCCAGGCTGCCGAGATCTCACTGTGAGTGGACGGAAGAAGAACTACGGCAAGTTGCCACCTGAACCTGGGAGAGGATCATCCCCACTGGCCCTACGGGCCTACTCGACTCAAGGGGGTGTGACGAGCTGTGCTGGAGGTTGAAGTCGCCGCTACATCCATGATCCCATCAAATCAAGCGGTCCAATGCCGTATGGTTTTGTGTTGATTGATGGCTAAGTGATGCCAAAAAGCATGCCCCGTAATCGCAAGAGGTTATAGACTGCACAAGCCTTCAAAGACGATCTGCAAAATCTCGCTCTGCACCATAAACTCGTCATACTCCTGTCCAGAAGCTACGTCATTTGGTTGGGGCAAATCTGAAGGGGGCCAGCAATTAGGCTTCGGCCGCGACTATGTCGATCCAATCAATCAAAACATGGACCATGCCCATGCTTTCCCCAGCAGCCAGAATGGTCGCTAACATCTGAACTAATTGTGCTTGGAGACACTTCTCAGCTCATGACTTTGCCAAGGACTTATCATATCAAATGAATTCCACTACGTTTATGAGCCTTTATGTGTGCAAATTTGCTTGCTTGCTCCCTCAATTTCCAACGGAGGAAACATGTTCTGGCGCTGTCGGGCTGCAGTCCCTCCCCAGCCGGCCTCAGGCACAAAGTTCTCAAAGGTGCCATTGCTCATGCCTCCCTGGCAACGCATGGTGCAATTGGTCACCTCTCATTCGGCGAAACCGGTTCCCAGGTCACAAATGACTGAAGAGTTGGTGGGGCAAGGCAGGTTGCTTCACCCACTCGTTTCCTGGATGCATATAGAAAACTGCTTTGGCACCATTGTGTGAGTCAGAAACAGCTACTCCCTGGTACTGCAATTGGGATTGAAAACCCAAACCAGGATCCAAGGAGGGCTTGCCAACCTGGTTCTTTCCCGGATCACGCCTGCAGGAAAAGCACGGTGGCGATCTCTGGGGTCGCGAAGGCACGGAGCTTCAGAGTCTTTTGTAAAGCATCACCTCTGGCTTCAGCCGATGAAAACGTGTCTTCAGGTGAAAGGATGGGAACGGTGCTGCTCAATGAACAGCTGAAATCCATCGGACCCTGGACCCGACTCACAGAACCAAGCAACGGATCAGGTGCTTCGACTTGCTCTTGCCACCGCAGACCCTCAGATTGGGCAACTGTGTCAGCTCGTGCGACATGTCCCTCTGAACCGACACATTTCGGTCTGTCTGTCTGCTATGATAGCAGCTTTAAGGGCTGTGGATAGTGCTTTTTGGAAACTTTGAAGAAAGCCGTGACTCATCGCGTTTCCGCTTCTCAGGGCCAGGCCCACCCACCAGGGCCAACTTGGTGACTCCGGGGATCTGGGCCTAGGGCCGTGTGCATCGGCTCAAAATCGGCTCCTTGAACGGGGCAGCCCCTTTCATCTTCCATTGGCTGCAAGCAATGCTGGTTTTATCTGACCACCTGGCCGTACTAGTCTTCAAAAAGTGGCTGAAAACCAGTGCTTGGTGGAGGAAACGAGAGGTCACAGCAGTCCCTTTCAGGTGATGTCCTCATGTGACTTAGATCGAAGTTATAGTCGTCCCATCACCCTCGGATTCATCATTCACAAACCAGTCGATTCGGCACCATCAAATCGAACGCAGCGCGAACAGGCCGGCCGTGCCGAAACCATGTGGAAAACCAACAACAACAAGAACAACAACAACAAACTGCAGTTTTAACATTGGCAGCGTTGATGAACCTACTTGTCATACTTGTCAATCCAATATGCGCACACGTTTGGCTGCTTCAATGTGCACCATCATGTTCAGAAACACATCTACTGCCAATGGTTCTCAGGCTTTGCAGCTTTGCAATCGGGACAAATTGGAATTGCTTTAGAAACCTTGACTGACTCATTGCGGGCAAGATTGAAACTCCACCAAGCATACTCCAATATACAAATCCACTCCGAAGCACAGAAAGCCTATGTGTGCGCGCCCAAAGAAAAAGCTCGGCGCCCGGACGAAGCCCCAGGTCACCGCCTCCGCCTCCGGAGCCGTGTGCTTCAGACTCTCGTTGCCGCTCAGCGGAACGTCTGCCTGCCGAAGACGAGGGGAGGGCGGGCGACGACACCTGGGGAGGGCTGGCGGCGTATGTTTGGCCAGCGTTCTTGCTCCTAGTGGTGAGGCCAGGAGCCCCTAGTAGCTTCGTGTTACTAGTAGTAAGGCCAAAAAACGAAATGTACCGAATAATCCGTCTACGGCTAGTATGGGAATGAGTTTCCATGCACGTTGATGGATTTGCTGATTCCTTCAGCTCTCCGCCCTCCGATCACCTTCTCTCTTGGCGGCACCTCGTCAATCGTGCCGTTCGAAATCAGGGCATTGCGGATCTGGACCACCGCGTTGTTGACCGAGGAGACGATCCGCATGGCCATGTCCTGGCGCGATCAAAGCTGGTCGAGTCGGACTCAACGCCTAGGGAACAATCAAGCACCAAAATGGATCAAAATGTGCAGTGTCAAGTTTTGACAGTGGAGAAATCCTGCATGTTGGGGTTGCCCGAGGACGGTTCCAGAAACAAGTCATGTCCATCTCCGTATCGTGCAGCAACTTCTCGAACACATGCGGCATGCCATGGCTTCCCTACAATCCTGGGCCAACCTCCCACTGTGATCAGCGGCCTCCCCTCCCAGTCGATGATCAGGACAGAGTTGCACGAGGTTTGTTGAGACATTCTTTTTTCGACCACAATGGAGTAGATAGAATATGAACCAATCTGAAAACATTATAAATGTCTAAAGTCTAAAAATGGTGTGGAAATTTTCCCATATTCTATACTCCAGTATGACTGCGCGTGGTTGAACAAACTGGTTCCACCTCAAGCCTTGCATTTGTCTTCACCTTGCCCTGCCACAGGGCTCCTTCCCGCAACCCACACCGGACCGGTCCTGAGCTTTGGGCAAATGTTTCACATCCAAATAGCCGTCCTCACCGAAGGTCACGAAGCGGCGGTCCCAAAAGTCCAAGCAAACGGAGCTGGTCGAAGCATACGAAAGATCTACGACCAGACATGACTGTGGTGAGTGCGCCGCAAAGCATAGAACCATATAGAACCCAAGTGCATGGACACTGACGCTCTTAGTTGGCACATAGATCACTCGACAACCAAGATCGCTCACGGGCGGTTCCTCCATCAACTTCGTGGCCTGTTCCAGAGTCATGAGAGCAAAAGGTCGCTTTTGAACGGCTGTACCTGGCAGATCATCGGTATTGAGACTTCGGTGGGTTGCAGCCACCATGGGACTGCTTGAGTGAGGAGGGCCCCGGACAAGAGTCTTTCAGATGTGCTATGCACGTCCAGGCCTTCGAAAGGAAGTGAAAAACCATTGCCATCGACACGATCGGCGTCAACCAGTGGAACCCTAACCATGGCATACCGTATACCATGGTCAGTTCCAAACTTTGGGACTTGCTGTCCCACCTCTAAGGGGTTTGATCCACTCTCCTTTTCAAAGGAAGAAGCTGTCTAGAAGCATTTTGGGACTCAATCCCCCAAGACAGCAGTTCCTTTTTCTCAAACAGATCTTCAAAATCATCCACAGCCACGACCCGTTTGACTACCGTCTCTTCCCGCCTCCGCTGGCCAGTGCAAGCATTAAGAAGCCAAGAAGCCGCCAGGAAGCCATGGCTCTGACAGCACTTGAAGTATTACACCCCTACAAGATGAAGGACGCCCCAACTAGAGAGAATGGCATGAGTGCCGAAGAGCGAGGATCAATTGCCCGTCCAAAACTCTGTGTTCTATTCTGGGAGGTGTGGGAGTAAGCCGGGCTGGCAAGGGGTGTTCAAGTGGGCTCCGGCCCTGCAAGTAGAAGTAGGGATGTGACGGTGCACTATCAAAGACTTCTTTTATAGCGGCTTTGGAGGTTTGGCTCGGGTTTTATGGGAGCACCCTGAAAGTAAAATCAAGCAACTTTGAACAACCACAAATTGACAGGGTCACCGCCATTCTTAAACCTTCAGTGACAAGGTTGCTTTGACAACATGGAGGTCAGGGTAGCCTGAAGAGATTGTTGCTGAGGTTTTCGGGCAGTTCAGGCACACAGTATCAGAAAATTCCAACGTGTGTGTCTGTGGCAGGAAATGTGATAATGAAATATGAACGCTTGTTTGGAGGTAGTTGACCCCAGAACATCAGCTGAAGCAAAAGAGCAAGAATGGTCGTTGGGCGGCAGTGATTGCTATTGAAAGTCAAAACAAGTTCAGCGACCAAGTCGGAATGAAAACCCTGAAGGGATTCAATCCTGTCTCATTGCCTCTGGATGGATCAACTTCGATGTGAAGCTTGGTGGAATTGTTTGGTGGGGAATGTCGAGGGGCAAATCATCAATTCAAGTCAATCCGACATTCCAAAACAAAACTGGGTTGTTAAGTTGTTTAGGTTGATCTGCTGATATCAGCGCAAAGTGCGTTGTCCAGCTGAGTTGATGAACACCCAGCCAAACCCGCCAGGTCCACTGCTTCCAGTAGCCCGGGTCGGCCATGGAGCCTGTACTTGAGGAACTCACAGCACGGCGGGTGTGAAACGTTGACGAGGTGTTTCATAGGGATTGCGTGGTCAAACAGTTGAGGTGAGGGCACAAGGCAAATATCCCAGCTGTTTCCTCTGCATTGATAGCCCCCGGTGCTGCTCAAGACTCTTAGACTTGAGAACCCGCAAGCAAGAAAAGACCATTGGTCCCTTGACGCGTTTTGGAAAAGACCGGCGCCATATCAGCAACCGGTCGGAGTCGCACCTTGCAAGCCCGCGAAGGGATTCGGCATCTGCCATCCCTCCTCAGCGGCACACCTGCCAAGATCATGTCTCATTTACAGGGGCAGAATCACCTCCTTCCAGCAAACTGGCCTTCCATCCTTGGATCGAACTCACTGGAATGGAAATCCATGGACTTCGGTGAGCAGAATCAGCTAAAATTCATTCAGCAAACCCAATCTCGCCTCACCCTATGACCTCTCACAGGCCTGGCCGCCAGTGATGCGGCAAACACGTTTGGTCCGCGGCCAGTGTCTCATTCCTTGTTGATAACTTTCTGGTTAGCCAATCGCAGGGTAGACTCTTTCCTCTTCAAATCTGTTGGGCCTAAGATTGCTTCCAAAGAATGGGTTAGTTGAATCGTGCCAAATAAACCATGCCATGTAAACTTGCTTTTGGCACTTCTACAGCACAGATCAGCACAGGAAATGGCATCCTGTACTTACATCACAGGACCGCCAAAAAAAAACAAAAGATAGCATCGAATAGCCGTTTATGATCATGAGGAAAGACGGACCAGGGAGAACTCGAACCTCCATCAAGATGCTTGCATCTGCTTGGAAGGCAGAGTCGCAACGCCTTACCCATTAGGCAACTGGTCCTGTGCATATGTAAAAGACTAGACCAAAGGAAAACACCCACCAAGATGGCGGTTGCATCAGTATGTACTGACTGGCGCGTCCCCACAGTTGAGGCTCTTCGCCTTCGGATGACGCCCGGCACCCAACTCTCGGTGGAAAACCTGACGAAGTGGCAGGAGTCGGCCGTGCCAGCTGCCCCTGGAAAATGTTGAACCCACTTCTCTCTGTGAGTCTAAGTCTCTACTACCAAACTCTAAGTCTAAAAGCGGATATGTTTACAAAACCAAAACTCTAACATGAGTCAGTCTATAATCTAAGTTGCAGTTTTATTGGCGCAACCCGATACACCCTACCTTACACGGGACGGATTCTTGGCATGTTGAGTCAACGAAGGGATGGACGTCGGACATCCAAACCCAGCTTGGAGAGAAAGTTGCAGTCTTGGTTCAGTGAAACCTACACCCAAGTTGACAGTATTAGATAATGGGCATCTTTTTCCAGAGTCCGGAAACATGGATACTTGAATCCCTGGTCCACTTCTTCAGGTGACCAATTCTATTGCTGGGTCTGACGCCTGACCAGCAGCAAGGCCAAGGCAGCCTGCCGCTTGATCTGCAAATTGATTGCTTGTGATCACCAAGTGTGTGGCACCATTTGCCAGAGGTGGGCCATTGACATGCCCAACGTGGAAAACCGAAAGTCTGCTGAAGTCGCGCGTTTTCGGTGCTACCACGGGCAACGGCCCTGACAAGGGCTCTTACTATCTTCAATCGAGCTGAACAACATTGCTGTCTTAAAGACACTCCTTACAGTATCTTATATAATGTATCTCACGTTATAGGAGCAAGGACGCTACTAGGAGCAAAGGGCATTTCTACTAGGAACAAGGACGCTACTAGGGGCTCCTGGCCTTACTACTAGGAGCAAGGACGCTACTAGGAACAAGTGCATCGCTTCTAGTAACAAGTGCCTTACTAGTAGTAACAAGAAGCTAGTAGAAACTGTTGATAGGAGGGCATGGTCCTCACCCCAAACACTTCCAACACAAAAACCTTCTTCCAACCCAAACTCAACAAGAAAACGCTCTCTTCTTTTTCTGCGTTCTCTCAAGGCCTTCACGGGCCTACAGGGCTTCTTGGCCCCACTTGACATGTAAAAAGGGCTTCAAGATCAAACATGATCAAGCCATGCAAACGCTCATGGGAGGTGTGTGTTCTGTCATCAACACTCCCCCTAGCTTCTATGAAGCTATACATCACTGATTGGGCGTGGTCTCATCCGGGTACTCCTGGTCCTGAGACCATTCTTCCCGCGCGGATGGACGCACTGCCTTCAACCAATGTTCAAACCCAGCTCAAGCCCTTGACAGGCGATGTCATCATTCGCCAGTGGTGTTCCATTTCGTAAGGCAGCTATGGCCGTAGTGCTAAGCACACAACAATGTCCCAAACATTGAACAGCTTCACTGTAGCGCAAACCACAACCAGCAGCCCCTGTAAACTCAAAAACTCGACTTGGCCTCTTAGGCCTTGCAGCAACAAGCAACTCAACCCAATGCTCAAGCCATGCAACCATAGCTCACACCGCAGCCAACAATGTCCCACACACTGTAGGCCTTGTGGCCAAAATGGCCTTAGAGACCTCATGGTCCCTTGCAGACTTCCGCTCCGGCTCAAAGGTTGAGGCCTTGCTGCCTCATCTCCTGCGCACAAAGCACGCAGATGTCATACTTTTTGTCCAGGAGTGTCGTACATCCCGGACGCTGAAGATCTCCTCGATGGTGGATCTCGCCCCAGCCCTTGCACCAGATCGAATCGCCTCTGCGAATCCTATTGAGATCAGGTGTGCACTGATGGCATGGAGGCGATGCCCTTAGCAGCGAAGACGTCAGGGTTTGACACTCCCTGAACACATGATATTTCTGGCCACACTTGGTGATGTAGACGCCCAGCCTTCCAACTCCCTGGTCATCATGGCCTGGTGGAGGCTCGGCAGCTTGAAAGGCTTTCGGGAATGCCTTTGGAGCCGCTTGTGAGGACTGCGGCTCCGTCGGCTCCCAAGATTCATCAGCTCGCATGTCGCGATAGTCCCGCTCTGTCGGGTAGTAGAGGGTCTCCTCCTCTTCAGGCGCTTCAGCCGTTGGGGTGGCCTGCTCTGCTGGGATTCTGGTTCCTCTTGTATTGATGAGCTTGCAAGGATCCCAGCCTGACGCCTCTCTTCGATGGAGAGTGAGGCCATCCAATTCATCAACCAACTTCTATTTGCTTCTGCGAACTGAATCTGCTGCTCGCGTGTCATAGGTTCAGCGGGTCCGTATGCAGGATCGGAGAGCGAGGTGGATGAAGAGGACGATGTTTCTCCTTCTGACTTCCCCTTTTCTTTTCCTTTTCCTCCTCCCTTTCTTTTTCCTTTTGACCTCATGCTGTGTCTATTGACTTCGCGGCCTTGGTTGTCCACTGTAAGCGAGCTCCCTTGAGAAGATGACTCGGAACTGAAGAAACGAGGTGGTTCCGGTGCCGGTGGACATGGTTCTGGTCCTCCAGCTTGATCGGCTCCTGGGAGCCAAACCATCAACCTTCGAAGGAACAGCGTGGCGAGGATGACCAAAACAGTGTAAATCATCATGAAGTACTTGAGGGGCTCATCATCTCTTTCACCTTGGGCCTTGGCTTTCGAAAGGATAGCCATCATCACAGCCAACTGAAGGGCGTTTCCAGAGATGGGAGTGGGACATCGTTCCCCCTTTTCACAATCCCTTTCCTTCATGCTTACCGCCTCTGGGCCTTCCTCCTTGGTCTTTTCTTCTTTTGGTCTTACCGCCTCTGGGCCTTCCTCCTTGGTCTTTCCTGCACATTCTTCTTGTGAGATCATCATCATCAACTCTTTCAGCTCTTTCGTTCGCTGAACTGTGAGAGCCTTGGTGCCCAAATCAGCGATCATGACTGAACCTGGAAGATGTCGAACTCTCCAGTCCAAATTTGTAATCCGCCAGCGAACATGCTGGGCTCTGAGGCGAAGGTGTCGAGTTCGCAAATTGGCATTTCCATCGGCAAAGAATCCGGTGGCCGCCGCCGCCAAGTTGTCCACGAAGAGGGTCTTCTTGTACAGGTCTTCGTGCTCGTTGATCAAGCAATCAACAGCATCTCCTGTTTGGAGGCCCTCGATGGCTTCTAGGAGCTCGGATTCAGCCGTTGATAATTAAGGCCGGAAAGGCCTGCTTTCCACTTTTCCAAAACATCATGGATCCATTCCAGGTGACCATCACTGATCCATGCGAAGCTTGTGTTTCAGGATTGGCTGCAAAGCTGGAGTCCGTGAAGACTTCTAAGGCCCTTGGTCCTCCATCCCAACCTTCTCCCTTTTCTTTTCCAAACTTCAAGCCTTCGTTCGGCGTGTTCTTCAAGTATTTCCAGACTTGAGTAGCCTGTTCAATCACCCAAGCCGGATGAGCAAGGATTTCTTGGGCGCAGCGACTGGTGGCATAGGAGATGTCTGGTCTTGTTCTTGTAGATAACCACATCAACTCTCCAACCAGCTTTTGGGCCTTGTTGACCAACTCAGGTGTTGGTTCTTCGGGTGCTGGATGAGCATCTTTGTTCATCGGAACCTTAATGTGCTTCCCTCCTTCCACCCCTTCTTTATCTTTGATGTAATCTTCTTGGGATGCAATGAACTCACCCTTTGAACCTTTTGTGAGCTCCATCCCCAAAAACTTCACTTTTCCTTCCAACCCCAATTCTTCCGGAGCTGAGGTCTCCCATTCCTGCTGGAGGGTCTTCGTGATGACCTGGATGGTGGTCGCTTCGCCAACAATCATCAGGTCGTCGACATAGACCAGCAAAAAACCTTCCAGTTGTTCATCTTGGCTGCCTTCTTCCATGGGATCACCTTTGAGGATGGCCCAAAGATTTGGTTCGGCAGCCGATTGGACAAAGTAGCGCTTTTCTTCAGACCTCATTTTCCGAAGAACACCGTCCCGGTGCAATCCCCAACATCGTGGCGACTGCCTGAGGCCGTACATGGCCTTTTGTGCCAAGTAGTATTCGTTGTGCTGCACATGGCCAGTCTTGATCAGAAGTGCTGGAGGCTTGAGAACGACCATGGTGGGGACATCCTGCTCGTTGTCGAGCGGCGCGTTGAGGAATGCCACTCTTATGTCCATGACAGAGGCCTCCCAGTCTTCTTCTGCTGCTCTCTTCAGGACGTAGCGAAGGCAGACTGCATCAGCACCGGAAGCATACAGACAGCGATCTTTCTCTTCTTCGGAGGTTCGATCGACGAAGTTCCCACAGGCCACCAGCCGGATTTTTCTCCGAGGACCAGGCTTCAGGGCGATAACCACCTTCGATCAGACCACTTCGAGCCGCTTTCCCCAAGTCTGTTGCAGCTGTTGGAACTCCTTTTCATTGATTTTCTTCAAAGCTTCCTTTTCTTCAAAGAGTTGATGCAGCTCCTTTTTGATCGCTTCATCCCACTTTGGGGCTTCTTGAAGTAGTTCTCGAGGAGATACGATCCTTGTCCTCAAAACTTGTTCTTCTTCTTGTGTCACTGCACTTTTCACCTTCTTGAGCTCCTCGAAGACCACATCCATCACTTTCATTTCATCCTTCAGCATGATGACGCTTTCTTCGAGGATCACCTTTGACACCCTTTCTTGATGCCTTTTCTGCTCCTTCTCCATCTTTTCATACTCATCTTCATCCTCCATCTTCATCGCTTTCATAGTCATTTTTCCTCGGATTCGCCGTCGAGCAACATGTGGATCTTCTTCTTCCGCGGCTCGAACAACAGCCATCCAGGTTTCGAGACTGGGCGCTGGTTCCGAGGTCTTCTTGATGAAGTAAGGTGCGATGGCGATGGTGTTGTCTTCACGAAGCACCAGGTGTCCGTGAGCATCTGGCCTTGGAGCCAAATAGCGAACCTTTTCATGGGCGCCTTCCAGTTCTTTTGTTTTCCAAAAACGCTTCTTGACCAGTAGTTCATGGCCAAAGGGTGGGACGTCGCTCATGTCCTTGTCGGCCATTCTCCGTCGTTCACGTTCATGGACGTAATGACATGCATAGGGCCACATAGCTGACAGGATTTCTTTTTGGTCCTTGGAAGGCATCGGAATGGCCATACGATAGGTCACCAACTTCGGGTCTTCTCGCCTTTCCCCTTCCTCTGCTTCTTCCTTTTCACCGTCCTGTCCTTCTTCTTCATCTTCTTGTTCTTCATCTTCCTTCTCTTCCATCTGACCATCCTGTTCTTCTTCAGCGCCTTCATCTTGGTCCTGCTGGGGATCTTCTTCTTCCTCTTCGTCCAAGATTGGACCCCTCTCTTCATCATCTTCATAGGGAGGTAGTGCATCAGGTGGATCAGGTAGATCAGAGGGCATCAACCAAGTGTAGGTTCCCACCAGGATGCATTTGGCAGTGTCACGGTCATTGGGTGCGACCGGATATGGTCCAGCAGTGTCGAGCGACAGGGTGCCTGCCAGTGGATGCTTGATCTTTCTGTGAGGCCGGCTTTTGGCACTTTGTTGTTGACATACTCGACAATCTCTTCGAAAGGGCACATGACCATGCTGCACATGTTGGTCCCAGCTAAGGGCCTTCACTTTCACTTCAGGTTCTGGTTCTTCTTGAAGGGCGGTGGCACATGCTGAGGCGATGGCATCGCAAAGACCAGGGACCCAACGTGCCAGTGCCGACGAATCAATTCTCTTTCCATCACCTCTTCCCTTGGCCTTAGGGTTTCTTTCCTTTGGTAAGCGGAGCTTCATATTGGTGCCCAATCCCGTAAGCTTGACAGGTGCCCCTTCTTTCCATGGAGTGAAATCCCCCTGGTTGACCGTGAGGAGGTTCAGATTGGCCGCGGCCTTCAAAGCTTCCCATCCCTTCGTCCTCCAAAACGAGACACAGTCCGGCATATAGTCGACCGGGTCACCTGGTTGCTCCAAGAGGAACAAGGGTCTTTCGGGCTTCATCTTTTCTTCCTTCTCCCCCCTTCCTGTTTCTTTGGCCCTCTTCACGAAGTCCGCGACCAGGTAGAGGAAGATCTGTCTCCACATCAGGATATCATCGTCCTGACACAACTTCTTTTGTGCTTCAGTGAGGTCAGGCAGACCCCATTCATACTCCCACGAACGTAGTGGAGGTGGTCCCGGGTAGTGTCGAAGCACTGACCTCGAGCGACAGTTTGGACCTCCAATCACTCCCAACAAGGCTCCATCCAAGGCTGTCCTCAGCAATGCCTTGTAAGCCGGTGATCCTTGCGAGGCCATGTCATGGTTTTGGCCTCTTTTGATATCAACTTCTAGGATCTGACCCTTCATTCCTTGGAGCTCCATGGCGGACTGCAGGGTGTAGCCTTCCTTTTCACCCCCATAGAGATGTAGGATCAGACCTCCCTTTTTCTTGAACCTTTTCCGCTGGCGCCGATTCGTCGGAAGCTGTGACCATTCACCTGGTTCCTGAAGCAGAGCCGACTTGACATACTCCGGAAGGTCCCGCAATGCCGGATGAGAGTCAACCATAGCCTTCAACCAGCTGAGCTCTCTGCCTTCAAAGTTTTCGAGCTGTACCTTGGCGAGGTGGATTCGGCTTTGGTGGTCCTCGAACTCTTTGATGAGGTCCATTGCCAGAGCCTTGGAGACTTGGGGACCCAGCAATCACCTGAACTGGTAACTCTCCACGAGAAGGATGCTGTACCCGCATAGCCCCACCCTTCCAAAGGATCTTGCAACCTTGCTGTACCAACATGCCCAAGGGCACGATAGGCTCAACCATCAAATTGGTGGACACCATCACCCCATTTTCTGTCATCAGCAGGGCGGTGTTTTGGCCATCTGCCAGAGCAACACTAACCTTCTTGGGGCCCTCAATGCTATCCGAAGCCACCAGAGGTCGAAGAGGGTGTGTGGCACCTGAGTCCAAGAGGCCATAGGATTCTTCTTCAGTTACGGAGCACTTCGCCTCTCTCACACGAGTGAGCTTCAGCGTTTTGATGCTGCGCTTGATCTCATCAAGTTGCTGGTGGAGCTTGTTCATCTTGGCTTCGGATGTTTCCTTTTCTTTCATCATCCTCAGCATCTTATTCGCCTCCAACAACAATTCATCCATCTTTTCATCTTCCGTTGTTTGACCTCCTCCTGCTGCTGTCTTCTCTGCCTCCTCAATTCCATTCTTTCCTTTCTCATCTTCTTTCTCCTTTTTCACCTTTGGTGGAGAGTTCGATGGATTGGACGACGAGGGCTCACGTGACGGACAGGCCGGAGCGAGGTGATTCTTGGCTCCACAGACATAGCACCGCTTGTGTTCATCCTTTTGGTCATGAGACCACTTGCAATGCTTTCCTTTGCGGCAGCCACTGTCGGTAAGAAAGAACTTGCATGGAGGCAAAGAACTTTCATTGATGCTCACACCAACATTCTTCACCTTTCCTTCAAGCTCTTTTCCTTTCTCCTTTTCAACCTTTTTCACCTTGTTGGTCGCGGAGCCAGGGTCTTTCGAAGAGCTGTTCCTCTTCTCCATCATGGCCAACTGGTCGACCTCCGCGATCAAGTGAGTTGCGAACTGTGTGACTGACAAGGCCGTGGGGTTGGTGTCAACCTGAAGGGCATTGCGAGCTAAGGAAACCCGAAAACGCAGAGCTTCATTCCCCTCCAAGGTCTTCTTTGTGAGCCGGTTAAGGCCTTTGACCAAGATCGAAGGGTCCGGTTCTGTAGCACCGATTTCTTGGGCCCGAGCTCGCCACCTCAACCACTTCCTCAAACCAACAACAGTATCATGTAGACCTGAAGGTTCTGCAGGCTCCTCCAGGTTGCGAAGCAACATTTGCTTCTCACTCACACCACCTGGACAGTAGGCCACATGCAAGTGGGCCAGGATGGCGAACACCGAAAGCCGCTTCATGGCAACCAGCTCATCGCGCTGAGCTTCAGGGATGGCCTTCAACAAGAGAGTGGCCATTCTTCTTTCAAGCTTGGCCCATTTGGCCAACGAGGCAGGGGCGACAGGTTCGTGGCGAACTCGATCCAGTGGCGCCATCGCCTGATGTGCCTGATACCAGGCTTCCACCTCCCCCAAAGTCTGCTCCCACCACTGGTCAGATGTGGCAGTCAAATCAGCCACGACCGGCTGAACCAGCAGCAACCAATCACCCAGCTGCAGCTGCGAAGTGTTTCCTTGAAGTGAACCCAAGGTGGGCAATTCGGCCAACTGCCGTACCACCTCCACACCCTTGATGGTGCCCTGTGCTTCATGACCTTCTGAAACCTGTCTTTGAAGGGCCTTCATACTTTCCACCAAGAGGGTCATCACTTCCATTTGTTGAACTTCAGTAGATGCCTTTCCTCCCCCGGGCATAGGCTTCCCCATAGTCGAAATTCCAGCACCTCCCAAAGCCCCTTTGAACGTAGGACTTGTGCTTCTTCTTGTTTCTTTGGAAGACCTTGAACCCTTCCCTCCATAGGTGGGCTGCCTGTAGGACCAGGGTGTACGACCACGGTCATCCTTACCTTCATGGGCTGGCTTAGGCATGGTCGGTCCTTCATCAGGCGTGTTGTATGCCGAGGTTGGTCTTGCAGGCTTCGCTTCTTCTTCAGCCTTGGCTCTTTGGGCGGCTTCTTCATGGATCCGCTTCTCATAGAGTTCCTGGCGAAGCTGATCGTTTTCTTCCTGCTTCGAGCGGCAGAGTTCGGAGAGGGCCCTTACCTCTTGAGAGATTTGCCACCTCCACATAATTTCTTCTTCCTTTTCTTCACGAAGACGATCTTGTTCGTCCAGGTCAAAACGTTCAGGGGGCTTAGATCGATGACTTCCCATCTTGACCCTTTCACCCTCTTCTTCTTCGCTTGACCTTTCTTCTCCCCTTCTTCGGTCCTTCCCCTTTCCAAACCTTCTTTCTTCGTCCTTGAGGAACTCCGGCCTTCTCATCGGATCTTCAGGTCCTGAGGTTCCTGACGAGGTTGGAGGAACGAGGGCACCGAAAAGCTGAGGAGCCTTCCTGGCGGCATTTCTTGATGCCTTCAGCTGTTCCTGCGAAAACAGCGGCTGGCCTTCAAAGGGCTGAGACAGTGGGGCAAGAGCCATAGGTCGTCCCCTAGGAACTTCAAGTTCACCCACCATTTGACCTTCTTTTGAACCTCCACTTTTGGATGCTTCCGGCTCAGTTGGGAGTGTCGCCGGTCCCGAATCCAAATTTCCCGTGGTGGTTCGAGCAGGGGTGCTCAACATCTTTCTTCCCTCCTCTTCTTTACCATCTCTTTCTTTTTCCACCTCTTCCACCACAGCCAGCTCTTGTCCTGCGGGAGGATGATCACCAGGCTCCATCGGAGGCAATGCCAGCTGCTCTGGCTCCAGGTCACCATTCGCCATTCGTCGACGGCGCATCATGGGAGCTGGAGGTGGGGTTTGGAAAAAGCTATCATGCGTTGGGCTCATAACCTGTTGATAGGAGGGCATGGTCCTCACCCCAAACACTTCCAACACAAAAACCTTCTTCCAACCCAAACTCAACAAGAAAACGCTCTCTTCTTTTTCTGCGTTCTCTCAAGGCCTTCACGGGCCTACAGGGCTTCTTGGCCCCACTTGATATGTAAAAAGGGCTTCAAGATCAAACATGATCAAGCCATGCAAACGCTCATGGGAGGTGTGTGTTCTGTCATCAACAGAAACAAGTGCCTTACTACTAGGAGCAAGGACGCTATTGTGTTCATTGCTGGCGTGGTGCAAACATCCCCTCTCGACATCCCAACCTGCACACTTCGCAAGGCCCAGCGCCGCATGGGTCGCGCCATGGGACTGTCCGCGACGCGTGATGCGTGCTACTCGTTTGCCCAGTTTGTTCTTCGTCCTACTTGTCACTTTCCTATAGTCCTCTCGGTTGCAGCTACAATGGTCTGCATTGGCAAGATCTGTATGCGGGCTGTGGGTTCACAGCTTCACGAGGCTTCGCCGCCTGGTCACCTCGTCGTTTGTCCATGACCGAGGCAAAGGGACTCTACCAATTACATTTATTGTTTCTACTAGTTTCTTGTTACTACTAGTAAGGCACTTGTTACTAGAAGCGATGCACTTGTTCCTAGCAGCTTCTTGTTACCAAATCATGATTTGTTCACCAGGGTTGTGCTTGGGGTGTCTTGTATTGGCCACTCTTTGTTCCTGATGGCATCCCATGTTCTCGTTGCAAAGCCTGCGGTGTGCAAAGCTTCCATCTGCAGTTGTCCTTTCATCGGTGAATCGAAGTCGTTCAGTTCCAGCTCTGGACTCTCCACTTTTTTGCGCAGTCTGTCACAAGCTGCTACTTGGCATCTGCAAGGCCTGAGACTCCCGAATACAGCCGATGATGCTGTACAGCACTAAACCTGAATCATATAAATATATATTGTTTAATGTCAATATAATGTCTTTACACATCTGAAGTCGTACCCGATCACTGATCACGCTGATAGAAAGAATAGTTCACTGTTGATCGCTGTCTTCCGGTTTGTGATTGCTCTGTACTATGAGCCCGGAGCACCCAATTCTCCACGGACTCCATGGTGGAGTGCTCATAAAAATGCAGATGGCACAACACCCGTAAATGGAACACAAGCATGCAGCATGCTGTACTAGTATGTAACATGTGCTGCAAAAGAGCCTTGACTTGTGCAAAGCTGGGCTGCAATGCCATCCTGTCAGAATGTGCTGCCACGGGGCCCTAGGGCTGTCTGCTGGGAACAACCTCTGGTTGGCTGTTCTCGGTCAGCATCGAAGAGCCACTGCCACTGCGCAACCGCCCTGGCACGGACAAGGTGACGCCATCGAAATTGCCCGTACCTTCAGGGTGCCAAACCTCTTGCCGGTAGTTCGTGGTCTTCTTCAGCTCTTCATTGACTACGGCCGCGAAGCATGACACTCTTCGTTCAGACTGTATCTGCTCAACCACGTGGTGCATGAAGGGGCTGTGGCTGCCATCTGGAGCAGCGTCAGCAGCCAAAAGGCCAGGGCCACAGCCATAGATGATGTACAAGCTCGGCCTGTCACGACGCCTTCTGCCATGCCGCGCTTCTTGAAATGGTTCGCAGTGGCTCCCACCAGGCTCGCGGCAGCAATCTGCCAAAAGTACGACAAAGAGGCTCTTGGCAGGTTGCATTGCACCAAACCGTTCTGCCCCATCGTTAAGATGGACCTCCATCAAGTCGCGGCACACGGATGCGACGTTGAAGTGGGTATTCATATCACCCCTGACGGCATCCTCAGGGGCCCACATCATCTTACCATTGATCTCGACTGCATGACCAGAAAATGAGACGAGCAGGAGAGCATTGGTCGTTCCGGACACCAAGTGTACCGCACGCCGGAATCCCTCGAAGATAGCGCCATGGCTCGAACCTTGTATCTTGATGACCTGGTCAGTGCCAACGCTTGAAGAATCACCAAAGTATCAGATACAATCGAATCCTAGTATTAGGGATACTATGTAATTGCAATAGCATCCGATACCAGTTGACCTTGCAGCTCTGACGTACTAGCTACTCCAAATTGGATCCAATATATACAGGAAATCCGACTGCAACAAATTAGTCTGACTGCAACCCAAGCGTGGTGGACAAGCAAAGGAACAGCAAACACGACACTACACTGTATCTACAGCAGCCAAGCCCCACCTCATAGCCCATGCTTTCACATGCTCCTGCCAGCAGGTCTGCATCGCCATGTGGTGTCTCAAGGACGCCATAGCCATTTTGATAACCCTGGCAAGAGATGGCAAGCAAAATGCGGCGGGGATGCTCTATAACTGGGGCAAGGCTAACCCGTGCACCCGGAAGTAGCAGTGAAGCTCGCAAAGGATCAGTCAGTCTCCTGTACAGAAGCTGAAGGCGTCGGTGGCACAATATGCACCCACAAAGGAGGGCGCAAAAACAAGCAATCGAAACGCATACCACCCCGATCACCCTACTGGTTTGTTCCCTTTGGTATTCGGCGCAATCCCCACGCCGGCAAGCTTCTGTTTCCTTACCGGCTGGCAAGCAACAAACACTGTTGCTGCCCGAGGACGAGGAGCAGTCGATTCCCAGCTGATCGCCGGCATTGCATGCCATGTAGCGGCTGTTGCAGTCTTCCACAGATATCTGGCACGGGTCAGAGATAGAAGGCTGTGTCGCCTTCAGGCAACAAACTGTTTTGCTTCTGGACTCGCAATTCACACCTCTTGAAGCCTGGCAGGGAATGTAAGCTGCACAGGTTTTTCTCTGGCACACCGCATGAGGGTCTGTGCTCTGGTTCTTGTGCGTGGTTGTGGTACTGGCCAGCAGGCAGCAAGGCTCTTGTTTTGGCGAGGAACAGTTCACACCATCCCCATGAAAGCAGCAACGTGCCCCATTCTGATGATCCTGGGAGGCACCTTTGAGCAGGCAGCATGGGTGTCGTTTCAATTTGCCTCCCTTCAAGCCCAATGGCCAACTTGATCCACATTGGTTTTGGGTCCCGTGGTTGCTTGGCTTGCAACAGCCATCTCCGCAGATCGTCGCCCATGTCTTCTTCTCGGCATACGTGACCGCTTGGCAACACTCGGACAAGCACTGATTGGGTCCACTCTTCTTGGCTCCTCGCCTACACTTGTAGATGTTCGGCGACGGCATTTTTGCCGGATCACAGCAACACCCCAACTTGTAGCGGTTGCTCTTGAAGCATTGCTTCCCTTCGCTGGGGCATCGAGACTGACAATCCGAGCTGCTGCAATCCCTAGCCCCAGTTCCATTGCACGTGTCGCAGGCCACCACATGATCAAAGGAATCCTCAGGGGCTGCGACCAAAGCACAAACTGCGAGTTTCCCGACTCTATTATTCCTGTGATGGAAGCCACTCCACCCTGGCAATGGCGCTAAACTAAACAAGAGCTCATTGGGGTCAAGCCTAGATTCTCTGTGATAAATGAATCAAGGGTCTCTGTGGAACTCAGCCGCGACAGTGCGGTCTCTGCCGAGAAGACTGTGGGTACCCTTTGGGCCTTGGTTCCGAAAACCCGTAGGGCCAAGGCGGCCAAGGACAGGTCTTCCAATCCACCCGACACCGCGCTCTGTGCGCCAGTAACCAAGGTGCCGGATATGGGAAGGACTTGGCAATCGCAGCAGGTAGCAGCAAACAGAGCGTCACCCAGGCCATTGCGATCATTGGAACCTTCGGATGATGTGGCTCTCTGTGGAAGCCCTGTACTGTAGAACTGTTAATAACCCTTCGAGATCTCTGGATGTTGTTAACAAAGAAAGCAAGTAGATCAATATAGCGAAAGAGTGAAACAACTCTCCCTCACTGAGACCCTTCTCATTGCTTGCTACAGCCACCCTCGGACTGCATGAAGTGAGACACCAACTCACTGCAGTCCAAAGTGACAGGCCATACTGCAAGCAAAAGGTAACCCACGAGCCGCCAAGGTTTCTTTCCAGTGTTCTGTCGCCTTTAGGAAACCTGTCTGAACCTCCAACTCACACCAAGGAATTTGAAGCTCGCTCCTCCCATGATGGATCATTCTCATTTTCTGGCGCCCTTGTTGGGTCGGAACTAGTGCGAAATGCTCAAGGGCTGGAATCAATGGGTCCCGATCTCGAGCTTCTCGAGATGCTGTCCCTTCTGATTCTTGAAGCGAACATGTTGTCATGTTGTCCAAATTAAAATTGGTACAAACTTGGCTCAGTTGCGCTGGCCCATTTCTCGTGCAGAAGGTGTAACAATTTCGCACCAGTTGCTCCAGCCCCGACGCACATGACTAGGACTTCCGCCCATATCACTCCTCAGGGGCTGGGATTCTTGTGTACAGAGTGCAGCGGTTTTCTCTGCACCAGTGAGCATGGTAGGGCCAACCAACCTCATGGCCATGCTGTCTTTTGATCGACCGAATTGAAGCTTTGGGATTGTGATGTTTTGCTCCACCATACCAGTGAGACAGCAATGTCCAGCTGAATTTCTGCAGTCAAAGATGAATTTACTGATCTTGGCACCCTACTTCAATTTGCTTTTGGAGCGCATGTATGGTTCGTTTTCGACCGCTGAACCACAGACTGAATTCATGTAGCTCAAGCTATCCGGAGGCCATGCGTTCTTCCAAGTCATCGTTCAACTCCGCCAGTTGAATGAGCTGCGGACGCCGGGAGGACCGCAGAAGGTGGAGTTCTGTGTACAGTAAATGGTTGACAAGTCGGATGCACCTTTCCCGTGGCACCCCGTCTTCCCAGTACACATTGTTCTTGTAGCCCCTTGGGTGCTTTTTTGCAGAGCAAGCAGGCTTGCAGCAGTCAAACAAAGCTGTGACTTGTGCCGGGAGATTTCGAGGGATGTGCAGAGTGGAATTTGCAGAATCAAAGCACAAAGTCCCTCCTTACTCCCTTGCAATGCCAAAAGGTTCGACCCAAATCTCTCTAACAAACTCCTGATGTCTTTGTACCAAGCAAACTGTTGTTGTATGCTGTATATTACATATGTCTGCATAAATCGTTACTGCATGTCTCTATTCTATTCTTTACCGTCCCGTCATGTCCCATCCCCAAACCACCAAACAGGGCGACTGCCACTGCCTGTTCACGAAGGCTCGCAGTCCGGAGCTTCAAAGTCTCTGTTTCTTTGATGGACATGTCCAAGCGATTCTTTGTCTCGGCCTGGGATGGTGTGCTCAGATTGAGTAACATCCTATTCCCAAAACAGTGGATGATGCTGGTTAGTAAAGGCCTTTCTCAAAAATAGTGATATATAATTGTTTGCCGACTGTCACTGTTGATAGGACACACCCAATGCTCAATGCTTTGCTGGGTTGGCTGGTCTCGGTACTGTATAGCTCAACAGGGTTGATGTTGCTTGGGACCAAGTCAGTCCAAACTCAACAAATACGACAAAGCTTCCCTAGAGGGAACACCACTGATGCTACGTCGCCACACATGGATGCCATATCCAAACAGTGCTGGGGAGACTGGCATGCTCTGACCGTTCCCGGCTCAAGCGTTCCACCAGCTGGGCATTGAGCTCCTGCCATCGTTGCTCAGCACGGCAAACCCACCATTGCAGACGTGTCCCTCAAAGCTAGAATTCCTGGCCTGCTTGCTTGGTCCGTTCCATCCCTCCAACCTTCGATGCTTTACGGATTAGCACTTGGAAAATGCACGGAATAGCCTGGACACGCTATGCGGCAACAAAGGTTGCCTTGTTTTGGACTATATAGAGTATCATGTCATTGTATAATAGCATGTTGCTGGTGGAAGCGGGCATGGTGTTGTGGCTTGCAGCCCAGCTGATAGATATGAAGGAAGAATGTGGGCTACATCTCGAGATGAAAAGAGATACAATACAGTTTGGAGCTTGTTGACATGCACTGGATTGCCCGTGTTCTTTGGCAGCATTCCCTAAAAAGATGGTCTCTCTACCTTCCTTTTGCCTCCCTTCCTCCCTTCCCTTTTTAGCTCTCTCTGATCCCATGTCTTTTTGCTATGTTCCTCTTGGAATCATCTCTCTTGATGCCGCTGGCTCTCACTCCACTTCTGCTTTGAGCAGGTGATTGCTTCTCTTCTTGATGCGTGCGAAAAGGGCTCACAACAAAGAGATGCTGTCTTCCTGCTTCCTTTAAACTAAAGCCTGCTGCTTACACATCTAAAGCCTCTTCTTTGTGCGCCCGCTTCTTGGGCTTGTTCCAGGGCACATAGCCATATTGGATCATGTGCATGATCTGCTGCTTCATGGTGTATATGAAAAGTAGCACGAAATAGACCAACAATGCCCGGCCATCAACGTCCATGTCTAGGTCATCGATAAATGTGACCAGCAAGGCTGCGAGAGTAGCCGCAGTCCCTCGACACCAGAGCCGGAACTCCGAGAGCGCGCGCACGAAGGGCCGATACTCGCTGCTATTGTTTCTGAGGTTTTGGTCCTCCGTCGAAGGTGACAAAAACAGAAGAACCTGGTTCAAGATGTAGATGGCCAACACGTAGACCGCAAAGTAGTGGCGCTCAAGAGAAAAGATCCGCCAAGCAAAGATCAGTTCCAAAGCGACAAGCAGCAGCCAGCGACACCTTTGCCACGGCACCAACGGATCAGAGAGTTGCAACAAGATCCTGTCCAGGCGCTTCCAGTCACAGAAGTCCTTGTCATCCGGAGGGCCGATCGGCAAAGGCTTGGACGAGCGAATGATGGCCTCAAGGATCGCTTCAGATTGCGGAAGCTTCACCGCGTTTCCGTCTTCGATCTCCTCCTCGGACATGGCGTCAAAGCAAGGACGACGGACAAATTCTTTTCTAGAAGAGTTTCTAAGAGTTCTTACTGCATGTTGGAGATGTTCGAAGCTTCTCCCACCCTCAATTCCTGCGTCTGGGAGTTTTTTTGTCATGTACTCTTCCAATCAAACTGGACTCAACCTCCGGTGGAATCCCAGAGGCTTTGAGCCAGTCTGTGCCACGGGCATGCTCCACCTTCCGAACTGAGGAACCGGTCCGGACGCCAAAGGGCCTAGCATAAGCAACCTAGAGACTTTACAAATATTGCCACAATCCGCCCAAATATGAGTCAGAAATGAGATTCAATGATAGAACATGATAGAACAAACAGACAGACTGACAAATCGACAAACAAACATTTTAGATTGTTCTAGCAGCCAAGCATGTTTCAACGTTCAAACAAAAACACAACTTTCTAGCTCATCCGTTTTCCGTCCTTGAGTTCCTTCACCTCCGCAAGGTCTTTTCGCTCCTGACCACAAGCCTCACCAAACAGGCCAAGGCAGGAGTTGTATGAAATTGCCTGCGCTGTGTGTTACTGTATCCAAAGGTGCTTGGTGGAAAACGACTGACTGGTTGATTGGTCGCGACTCACATTGGAAAACAAAGAATCATCAAACCGTTGAACATACACACCCATGCAAGATCATCCAATTTTCACCTAAGCACCTAAGCATGTGTGTCATATGGTTCACGCAGCGACAGCCCAGGAATGTCTGTCGTGCCTCCTTGGCCATCCGTGTCTTTGCCTCTGCGCGCTGCCGGAGCAACTCCTGGAAGCAGCCGCGCTTTCCAGGTTTGGAGAGGCTCCAATTCACACAGCATGCTACACACGATGATTCTGGGATGTGCTCTCAGAGTGTCAAGGGCACTGTTTCCACTGTTTCCACTGCCCTGACAATTGGGTAGCAGTCCGGCACAGCATGAGATTCGTCTCAACAAAATGCAACAGCAATGCACAGGGGTCAAGTTCTGCTCATTTCAACATCCACGACTCCCCTACTCATGAATTCCAAGGCCCAGGGTTTTGCCTGTGTAAATCGCCCTGACTGTGCCACTTGCCACGCAAACTATACTATGTGGCAATGTTACAAGCCTCACACCTTGAACTTCCACCCTTAAGATTAGTGCGAGCGTGGCGAGCTTCCTTGAAGAAGTGTGAGCTATCCTGCTTCCAGTTGCTAGAAGCTAACTAGTCACCCTTAATTAAGTAGGTGCCTACTTAACTATATATGTAAGGGCGGGCCAAAAATGTATTTGAGGTTACAACCTAAACCCATTTCATATCGCTTTCGATTCTCGACGACCCATCTCCTGCACCCGCTTGTTATGTTCTCGTTTGAGGTCCCGGAGCGTCAACGCCATGCCCTTGGCCTCTGTCGTCTGCACGGCCAACAAGGGCCGGGGCGAGCCGGTGAGTTGTCGAGGAAAACAGGGCGAGCCTGTGAGTTGAGATCAAAAATCCGATATTGGAAGGTTCTTGTTTGTACTCAATATCTTGATTGAGGGTTTGAAGGAGTTTACTCCTCGAGTTCATTAAATTCCTATGAAAATCTGTCTTGCCTCATCACTCACTCGTCCTCAACGCAAGACAAGTCATGTGCTTTTGCTGTTTCAAATGATTCCCCTGGAAAAGTTGGTACAGGAGACCCAACTCCTTACGTCCACCAACCTCAGCAGCTGCTAACCGCGAGCAGTGAGCCTCCTCCTTCAGCTGCTGCTGCTTGGCCAGACTTGCACGGAGCTCTTCCTGGGCTCTGACCTGGCGCCAAGCCATTGCTCGAGACCCTTGCGAGATTCTGCACCAAAGTGACTGTCAAGGTCCAACAAATCAAGGTTGTGACACAAATTGGAACATCAAATTTTGTCGTAAATGTGCTGGCTGTAGGGTCTGATCTCTGGACAAAAGGATCAATTGTCTTGAATGTGAGGGACTTTTCGTGATTCAGT